GATATGTATTGATGCAATAGGTGTATATGCTCGGGTTGTTATCCTGCATGGATTTGTGTGTATATAAAGATATATATATTCTGTTGTTAGTGATTTATTTTGTTTGTTTTTTGTTTATTTTTTTTTATTTTATTCTTTTTTTGTTTTTTTTATTTTTTTTTCTCAGGTGTACTGCCCCCTGTGTCAAGAAGTGTACGATATGATGAACGCTCACGAGCGAGCGAAGGAGATAGACGGCGCCTATTTCGGGCCTTCTTTCCCTCATATATTTTTACAGACGTACACCAGCTGGGTAAGAATAAATAAAATAAATTAAATAAAAAATAAAAAATAAAAAAAGAAACAACTGTTTGTCTCAATATATAAATAAATTTAATAAATTAAATAAATAAATTTAAAAAATTAAAAAAAAAAAAAAAAAATTTATTTCGATATACTTAACACCATAAATACACCAAAATTCAGGTGTACGTACACCTGAATATTCTGGGGTGTACGTACACCTAAATTTTTGTTTTTTTTTTATTTTTTTTTCTGGTTTTTTCTCTCAGGTGCCCTCAGTTGCTCCTATTCCTTATCAGCCTCGTCTTTTTGGTTTTCGCATTCACAACCGGCACTCCATCATTAAAATAAAACTAGAAAATGTTCGTTTATATAATTTTTTTTCTTTTTCTTTTTTTTTGTTATTTATGGTTTATTTTTATTTTTTTATTTTTATTTCTCCTTTATTTTTACCTTTTATGTTTAATTTATTACTTTAGTGTACGCTTTCTTTCCTTTTTTTATTCTTTCTTTTGTTGTCACTCGCTGGGGTGTACAGGCAGCTTGCTGGTTGCTGCATACCGGGGCGGTTCGATGCACGTGCTTTTTCCTCTGCCTGCTGTTTGTGTATAACATATGAATTATATTTATTTATTTATTTATTTATATATTTATTTAATTTATTTTTTTTTTTCTCTGCAGGGGGAGTACGGCAGCAGCTACGCCTCCAACAGAAAACGTGCATGCGGTGCTCAGGCCCTACCCAGCGGTGAAGGTGACCCGCGCCAGGAGGAAGCAGAAGAGAAAACTGCAGCTTAGTGCATGCATGCAATCCACACCTTTATATCAACGCTCCATGCATGCATGCATGCATGCATGCATGCATCCATGCATAGATACATTGATGCATGCATGCATATAACCATGCATGCTATGATGCGTGTATGGCTGCATGCAAACATGTAATTATGCATGCACTGATGCATGCATGCACTGATGCATGCATGCATGCAGTCTATGCATGCATGCATCCGTGCATGCATGCATGCATGCATCGATGGGGCCGCTGTGAGTTTGTTTGCCCCGTGGCGGCGTTGTAATGAGGTTTTGTTTGT